ACAACCTGGTATGGTATCCGTGTGTCTTTCACACAGGGTGCACATTGCAGTTTAGTAGTGGTCTCATATACGTATCACATTCCCAAAATGCAGGAGGCAAAGCACTAGATTGGTTCACCTAAAGGATGTTTCAGCCTGATCCTTCCCTGATCTAGTCATTAGACTTGCAAGAGCCTCATTTTTAAAGATCTTCCCAAGTTTGGCTGGCATAGGAAGAAGGAAGGGAAGAAATAAAAAAAGAAAGTACATGGAAACATATTTGAGGCCATATCTAAGCCCCTTGACTCTCAGCTTGTCACATGACGTGCTCTGGCCCAAAGAATAAGGCAAAAGGGATGATGTCATGGTTCCAAGTCTAGAGGTTGGCCTGGGCTCCTGTATTTCTGTATCACTATGAGAGCATGCCCAGGATCAGCTGCCATCCCAGGAGGAGGAACCAATGAGACCACTGAAATAGCCATAAAAATCTTATCTATTACATAATACCATTTTATAATTTGCTTGTTTTTCAACTTTGTTAACAAATCCCCAGGTCAACAGATATTCTACAATATTTGAATTGCGCCTACTCTACAAAGTGAGAACTAGAAGAATGTGATTTTCGGGTCAGCTTGTTTTAGCATGCTTCTCTAGGTTTGTCATCAGTTCAAAAGGAACAGAGAGATTGTAAAAGATATTTTAATTCAAGTGGCCATGTTCAAGTAATTCCACTTTCCTTGTAAAACTGTCTAAAGTGATGTCTAGTGTGACGCAATGCTACCTTGCTAACTAAACCACGTATTAATTCCTACTGATACTGAACCACAGCAGCATATTCACCTGGTTGTTGTAACACATGAAAATCCACAAGCACGACTCAACTCCAAGATGACTGCCCCTAAACCTACACAGAGAAAAGAGATTTTAAAACAGTTGTTTCCTATCTGTTCAAGCTGGGACCCAAATACGCATTCGAACATAACAACTGCCACATTATTCTCCAAACGTGTCAACACAGAGCTCAATCTTTTAGCTAGTTTAGGTACCTATTACCATTATTCTGTGAAGAAGGAGTTTTCAGATTTTTTATTAATTGAAAACCTTACTAAAAATCTCCATGCTTAAATGCTCAAGAAGAATTTGCACATCTGCCAACTAAAAATTACTCATGGAGTTAAGACTTTGGTTCCGTGTATGCACATTTCCACTTTCAAAAATGTCATCTGTTGTAACAGAATTCCTTAAATCACCAAAAACATAACATAAAGCTGGCTAGAGTCCTGATAGTCTGGTTTACTATATAGGCACTCTCCAGAAGAAATTATTCATGGTAATGGATTATAGCTTGGCCCCTGCAATTAGAATGGTGAGGGCCTTCCACATTGCAAGTGACAGTTACTAATGATTTTTCTTCATTTTATTATTCCCAAATTCAAAATAAAGAGTTGCCCGCTGATTGCTGATGTCTACTGTTTCTCCAGTTTGTTTCCAAGTGGGACAGGTCTGAGCATTTCCAGGTGTATAGGTTAATTCCTAGTGACTTCAACTAAATTTGTTAATGGGAAGACCTCATTGCAGAAACAGTAGGAAAAGTCTTATTTTATAGCCCCATTGTTGACCTCAGTCCTTCTTCTTACCTTAGTCCTGAGAAATTTCACTCAGCTTAGCAATGGATTCTTGTTCATGTGCACAATTAGGGAAATCCTTGAGTTATTTTCTAACCAAAATCATACATGGAAAACTTCCTACACCAACTAAATTATCAAGTTTCTTTGCTTCTATCTAGAATTACAGCAAATCTAAGGGTCGCACACATTATCGCACACTGGTCAAAAGCACTTCAATTAATAAAAATGGGGAAACATTCTTATTTAGCAAAAGAGAGTGTTTGATAGATGATTCCTTTTAAATCAAGGACCCGTGGTGGGGAAAGCAATAAAAGCAACTCTTTGTGTCAAACAGAATGACCAATTCAAAAAACAGACTATCCCATGAAGAAAAATCCCAGGTTTTAAATGTCCTACTTTGGGGCACCATTTGTTGGCACCTCACTAATTGGTACATGCCTTCTTCAGCCAATAGCCCCTCATTCTACTCAACAGAGTGGGGAGCCTTCAATCTTCACTGGACTTTACATTCAATCAGTTGCCAAGACTTAGAGCCTCCATCTTTGATCTTCTTTTTCTTCTATTTCCTTCTTTAAATTTCCATGGCTCCCAAATGGTCCCACTGTCTCAAAGCCTTTTCTTTGGAAATGTGTTTCCATGTTATGTTTTGGGATGAATTTATGTATTATTTATTCTCAAGGAAAAATCTGAAGTTGACTATTTCTCATTTCTGAGATAAAACAATTGCTGTCTTTTCATCTGCAACATTTTTTTTTTTAATCTGGAGCACATTGATACACTTAAATCAGTGCTTCTCAAATTTCAATATTCACAGAAATCACTTGGGGATCTTGAAAACTAAAGATTCTGATTCTTTAAGCCTTGGGGGAGGGCCTGAGATTCGGCTCTGCATTGAGAACAAGCTCCCAAGTAATGCTGATGAGGCTGTTTAAGAACCACACTTTGAGCCGCAAGATTTTGAATTATACCATAGCTATGTCAATATTACCTACAGTGTCTTAGCATCGGTGGTGATTTCTGCATCTGATAGTTCGAGTTTTTGTTCTGATTTTGTTCTGCCTGCTTTGTAAATGTTATTCTAGGTGCTTGCTTTATAACAGAATAGCAGAATTGATGCAACGACATTAAAGCAGAAAGGGAGACACAGTGTCTGGCTGCCTTGGGCACTTCTGTTAGCAGAAATGGAAGTCTTTCAGGGGTCTTAATTTTTAATAGCTACGCTATCAGATTCTCAGTCTTGGCATTAGGGCTAAGTGTTAGAACTTCCCATAAAGTGTTCTGATTTATGGACTCGCTGCTCCTTACCATAAAATAAAAAGAAATAGTCAGTTTGAAAAAACAAAACAAAACGAAAAAACCAAACCAACCACACAGCCTAGCTAATGAGATTTCATGCTATTTGTTAATTGGTAAGCATTTAATAACATGAAGATCAGAATAGCTCCAATTTGCAAAATGTACTTACCATTCTGGAAACATCAGCAACTGAAAAGTGGGTTACATGATATAATGAGTGTAGTTGCCTTTCTCCAGACCTGTTCTGTTTCTTTGCCCTCTCTGGCCTCTTTCTGGCTCCATTTACCTTTTCCACTGGTTTACCAGATGATTCATCAACTTTCTGGCATTTTCCACTTACCATCTGTGTCCAACATCCTGGTAAAATCCAATAAACTTTCTAATATCCAGCAACCCATTAACCATATCCTTGTATATAGCTAATTCACTGGGAGTGGATAGTCATGTGATATGGCCTCAAGGCAAAGTGCTCTACCACTTTTGGAATACCCCCTGTGTGCCAAGTTCTGTGCTGGTTGCATCAACAAAATCATCTCACTTAAATCTGAAGTAGTAAAGATCCTAAAAAGCCATTTTACAGAAAGATTAGATTTTCAATTTATTATTCAGAATAAATATATCTTTTTTCTTTAATGGCTCAAATAGTTATTAAATTGTATTGGTTTAAATGCACAATGTGTGTGTATGTGTGTGTGTGTGTGTGTGTGTGTGTGTGTATAGTATTAATTCAAGAGATACAAAATGAAATTGAGTGAAAAATAAGTCTGCCTCCTTCCCATTACTCTCATCATGTCTCTACCTAGAGGTAATTATTGTCAACGGTTTTTGATGTGTCTTTCAAAAAACAGTCCATTAAGCATGGTATACTAGGTCTCTTTAAAAATTTACAACCTGTTACAGAATATATATAAATGTTCAATTACTAGTAATACCTTATTATATATACAGATTACAACTTAGAAATGTATTTTCATGACCATTATGTCATTTGATTCTCCCTGCAATCCTATGAACAACGTAGGGCAGACATTGTTGTTACCCCTTACCCATGAAGAAACTGATGCTCAAAAACATAAAATGATCTGCCCATGTGTATACAGTGGGAGACTCAGTTCTAGAACAATAACTAGTCTAATGCTCTTTCCCTGACATCATGGTAAACGTAGCCCAAGGATTAGAGATCAAAAAACATTAGCCTTCTTTGATTAGTCAAAGTACTCTTTCTGTATAGTGTCAATTATCAGAGAATTTACTATGTTCAATGTGGTACCAAGAGAGCATTATTCCAGTAAATAATATATAAAAACTCAATATTCTGGCTCTGCAACTGTGGTCATTAAGCTGTAACAAAACATTTCAATGAAACAAGGGTTTTGAGTTCCTGTTAATGGAGATGTTTGGCCCGTCTTTTGAGACAGCCCTTGGTTTAATCAGAACCTGCACATTGCTAGAGAAGGGTTAGGGAATTTGTGAATCTGGTCTAAATAAACAAAAAAGGGCAAGCAGGAAGCAATTCTATTCTTTTCTTAGAACTGCCTGATGAACTTGTTTCCTTATTTGGCGATAAAGTCCTAGCCCGATCTAACATTTATGCCATCTTTCAGTTACTAACAAATACTCTGCATTTTGAGATCTTGAAGGTCCAGTTCAGCCTAATCAAAGCTTCAATTGCTCACCCAACTCAAAGCTTTCTGTGTTCCCAGCCTAGCCCCACCTGAGCAGGGTGTGGAGGGGAAGCAGTGCATGGTCAGATAGTAGGAAGCTGCAGGGCAGCAGCAAGATGCACCGGGGCACCGCAGCCCTGCCTTGCGTTTCTGCTGCTCTTCTTCGGCTCTTCTGCTGCCTTTGGGTTTTCTCACATCGGAACAGCAGTAGGAAGAAAAGGCCAGGTTGTGATTTGATAGTGTTATATGGCTGATGCTTTTCTCTTTTCTTTCTTTTTCTTTTTTCTTTTTTGGGACACAATTTCACTCTTGTTGCCCAGGCTGGAGTGCAATGGTGCTGTCTCAGCTTGCTGCAACGTCTGCCTCCTGAGTTCAAGCGATTCTCCTACCTCAGCCTCCCGAATAGCTGGGACTACAGGCACAGTGCCACCACGCAGGGCTAATTTTTTGTATTTTTAGTAGAGATGGGTTTTCACCATGTTGGCCAGGCTGGTCTCGAACCTCGTGATCCGCTCGCCTCAGCCTCCCAAAGTGCTGGGATTACAGGCGTGAGCCACTGTGCCCAGCCCGGCTGATGCTTTTCTCAAGGGGCATCTTCAGAGTTCTTCTGAAACACCCCCACTAGGGAGCTTCTGTTGCAGTTTCCTACCACACGTGTCTCCTCCAGCTTATGACCTCCCCTTCCCCACCTCTGACTTCCTCCTGCTGGGGTTCCTTGCGTCTCCTGGCGGTCCTTTTGAGTGGAGCCCCATTCTCTGCAGACAGCCCAGCTCCCTTTCCCGAGTCCTCCGGGGCAACAGCCCGTTTGCTGAGCATCGGAGGAAGTTCGATTTCTCCAGCTCTCGCCCCCTTTCTCCTTTAGCTGCCACCAGCTGCTCTATCTAGCTTCTCACCTTCTGGCTTTTCAGGTACTAATCTCTATGTGGTAGGCTGAATAAGGCCCCCACCAAAGATGTCCCTGCCCTAATCCCCAGAACCTGTGAATAGTTTACATTACATGGCAATAGGGACTTTGCAGATGTGGTTAAGGTAACAGATTTTGAGATGAGGGGATTATCCTTGATTATCGGGTAGGCTCAAAATTATTACATGAGTCTTTAAAAGCAGAGAACATTTCCCAACTGAAGTCAGAGAGATGCGGCCTCGTGAGAAGGATTCCACACTGTCTCGCTGGCTCTGAGACATAGGCGCCCTTGTACCAGAATCAGAGAGGCTGCAAGGAGCCGATGGCATTCCCCAGCTGACAGCCCTCAAGGAAAAAGGGACTTCTTTCCAGCAAGCAAATTGAACTGAATTCCATCAACAACGCGCAGAAGCCTGGAAACAGATGCTCCCCTAGAACCTGTAGAAGGGAGTGCAGGCTGGCCAACACCTTGATTTCAGCCCTGTGAGGCTTGAAGCCCAGACATCAGCCCTGCCCACTGGACTTCCGACCTACAGAACTGTGAGGTCGTAATTTTGCTATTTTTAAGCTGTTAAATTTCTGCTAATCTGTTTCAGCAGCAACAGACACTAATACATTCCGTTTGTGTTCCCCAAAGCCTAGGGGTTCCAGGTCAGCTCTTCAAGCGATTCTCTAGCGCCCCCCACCTTCTTTGTGTAGGACGAGGGGAAAACATAGGAGAGGAGAGGAAGCATTTCAGTAGCCTGTAAGCTCTGTCTGATGAAACCCTCACCCTCTTCATTAATTTACAAGTCTCCCCTTATATAGCTGGGATTTGAGCGGCAGTTTCAGGGTTATTGGACCATGTTTTTGGTCACTCCTTAGCAGATGACATCTCTTGAGAATAGATTCGCATTTTTAACATTTTTTCTCAGCTCAAAGATGTCAGCTAGCACTGAGACAACAGGAAAAGTCTCATTTTAATATCCTGTTACATAAACACATTGACAGAATGGCTTTCCCTTTTAGGTTTAACATTTCTAATGATGTGCAGGATAGATTGGAGATGCTCGGAAAAAGCTGGGTGACAGTGAAGGAGTTGAGCTCTCAGGAAGAGAATTCACCGCTAGAGTGGGAAGGCAGACAGGTCAGAAAATAGCCACGTTGCCCAAGACCTGAATTAATGTGGATGAAACAACGCTTCTAGCCCTAGACCTCAGGCATGGTGGGATCCGAGGAAGAGGTGAGAAGGGAGTTTGCGATCAGTGGCTCACCAGTAAGCAGGACTCATATGCCATCCCGCAATGATCCTGCAAGAATGAAATAAACTGAGACTACTTAGCTTGAGTATGTGCAATAGTTCACCCCTTCCTCACTGCGTTTTGTGGTTTCACAGCTTAAGTTTCCTACAAAGCATGAGAGTGAGGGGGGTCAGAGACAGAGCAGCAGTTCTGTGACAGAGCCCACAGTCTCCATGAGGTGCAGGGAGGGGGGCAAGGCCCTACTGCCCAGTCCTGGAGGCCACATGTGGTCAGAGTCTGGGTCCTTTCCACATCTGCATATTATGTGTATCTGAAGAGGGAGGCAGGCGGGAGGCAACTTCCTTACAGGCCCCATCCCATGTTTCTGCCTTTAATGAGCTTTTAGGAGGCATGATTTCATAGCTTAGTTTATTTCATAATCAAGCCCAGCTTCCTCTGTTAGGCCAATCAGTGCCTATTAACTGAATGCCTACTGTATGCAGGCTTATGACTCTAGGAACAAATGTGTCCATGATGCTGTCACTGTTTAGGAACTGTAAGATCATGGATGGAATCTCTTTCCTGTGAAGAGCTCACTTTTTCCATAGAGTGAAGGGCAGCTGTAAGGATATTTCTAGAATTCTGTTTTCTTTCCCTTCTCATTTCAGGAAGAAAAAGATGACTATAAAGTATGAAGAAAAAGATTAATATAAAGCATAAAGATAGTTAGCTATAGAAAAGTCTTCTTCCTGGGTTGTTTGAGCTCAAAATTAGGACTCTTCTATGCATATTTTGTGTTTCTTATGTAATTATCTGTAATGAGTAGTCAAGAAATGTGTGTTAGCCTATCATCTCCAGTACCTAATGCCATTCCTAAAATACAATCTAGCACTCAGTAAATATTTGTTGAATCAATGAATATAAAAAATGCAAAGCAAGCATTTGAGATATCATGCTACATTTCCTTCAGCTTCAACTCCTGGCTAATGAGCAAGGAAGGTCACTGCAGGAGTATGAGGACCATCAGAAGCTTCATATTTCAATAACCAGCGCCAAATTCTGAATGCCAGATGGGATGTTAAACCGCTTCTTATTACCACGTTGTTGGCCTCCATTGCCTCGGTATTGTTCTCCAATTGCGTGGTCTCTGTGGATCTCTGACTTCTTATTACCTCCGATTGGAACGCGCCACAAATCATCCTGCTTTCTTTATCCTCTCTCACCTCCAAGTAATCCTATCATCTTGCTCCAGTTAAAGCTGCTTTCATTAAGAAGATCTTGACAAACTCTCTCCCTAGCCCTGTTTGCTCTTCAGGAAAATTATCCCCTGGAAAAGTGGACGTGATCGCCACTTTCCAGAATGTATTGTGTGAATTTCTTCTGACTTCCAACATTCTCCTAAGCATTACCTTTGCATTGGAGTAGAATTCTAAAGGAGATAGCGGTTCTGAATTCCTTCCTTTGACCAGATGGAAGTCGTTACATCAGAATGCTGATGACTGCAAAATCTTGGACATACTGTTTTCACAATTAGGAAATGGCAAACACAAAGTTCTTCAGTGCAAAGCCAGCATGCGAGTTCAGCTTCCATTTGCTGCTATAAATTTTGTTCTTGTTGCTGCCAGTAAACACCAACTGTTCAAGTGAAATAGTAAATCCAAATGTGCCTGTTGGATGAGAGTAAAAAAATTATATGTTGCATAAATGCTGATGCGGAAGGATTTTTCAACACACTAAACCACGGTAGGGAAAGGAACCGAGAAAGAAAGTTGAACTGAATGCAGCTCTCACTAAGAACTTCTTGGTAGAAAGCACTGAAAAGGCTCTTGATAGAATGTTGATTCAACATACTGTTTAAACCTCAAGGAAAAAAACAGACGCAGAATTGGGATATCAGCCTTAGGATATCTGCTCAAAGTCCTACTTTGAACGATCATCGGGGTTACCAAAGAAGGCGGACGTAGATGGTAACAAATCAGAGCAAAGAAAAATACCAAAGTTCACTCAAAGTTGATGTGGGTTCAGGAGTTATTTGTTAATGATCAGTCTAACAGCCGAAAGTCAAAGTCAGTAGCTAGTACCATCTGCAATAAGATTTAGAAAATTTAAATCTCACAAATTTACTGTAAGGCTAATCAATAAATGTTTTTACTCAGTCTCCCTAAGGTTATATTTAGTGTGTAACTGGAATTATGATTCAAAGAGATAGTTTCATAAATGGTTCCTGAAATTTTATTTTGGATTACCTAAGTTACAAAAGATTTCTTTTCTCCTTTCCCCCATCATTTGTCTTAATGCTGAAACAAACAAACAAACAAACAAAAACCTGTGTGATCTTGGAGCTGGTTGCCCTGAGTCCCAAGCTCTGATTCGATTCTGAAGCTTGGGAGCCTACTTTCTCATGTGGATAGAAATGCCCACCCCACCAGGTCGTTGTGAGGGTTAAACAAGACAGTATATGTTAAACGCCTGGCACAGCCCTTGCACATAAAAGCTTCTTAATATTAGTTCCCCTTCCAGATTAGACTTTGCAAACAAATGATTGAAAAACAGAACATTCGAGTGGATTCTCTAGCATGATGAGGCTCCAGGCCAAGAACCATGTAGTAAAGATCTTCCAAACCAAAGTATTTCAGCATCTGAGAATGGCTAGGGCTTATCTTCAAGGCTGAAATAAGCATTTTAATATAAAGCAGTCTTTTTTCCTCTTCATTTTCTCGTGGAAAGGAAAGCATTTTCAGAATAATGGTTAAAATCTGTCCTTTGTAGATTTGAAAATGTGAGCGAGTTTCATACTGAAGTCAAGATCTACTGAAAGTGTTAGATGAATATATAAGGACCAGACGCGGCTGTCAAAAATAAAACAGATGCTGGTGTCTTGAATGCCTCCATGTGCCAAAGCTGACTTGTTTGACTTATTTTTGTCATTGAATTAATTGTTGTATCTGGTTTAATTGGCCAAATTGTTTTTGCTTAAATGTTCACATTTTCAGTTTTATATTGATATAGTCAATGTTTTTGAAGGTACAGAAAGTACCAATATTGGGATTGGGAAATAGATGTATTCAGAGGAAGAAAAATTGTTCATTTCCAGATCCCAGATTTATGGCAATTTAAAAATATAAAGTGTTGGTTTCTCCTTATGGTTACATCTGAATGTGTATAAATTATCAGAGTCTGTGTGCATTTATTTCCATAGAAAATAATACCAGCAGAGACACAGCCAAGCCAAGTTGAACCTTGCTGAGTGTATTTGAAGAAGCACAGGCCAACTCAGGGCAAGGCAAACCCAAGAGATAGGAAGTCTAAAATAGTAATAATCAGCCTTTGAAACATTTTCCCTTGGAAAAGTCATCCCAATCCCATCCTATATTAACAGACCAGAAATGGCACACATGTGTTCTATGTATGACACAGAAAGTAAAACCAAAAGGCTCATTCTGAATGCCCAGTCTGCCTTGAATTAAAACCTTCGTGAAGAAGTAGTGCTTTTGATTCAAAGAAGCTCAGGTTTGGAAGGGAGATGTGAAGGCTAACATCCCATCTATCTGATGTCTGGTCTTCCTTTACACAGTTCTGGCAAAGATGTCAACCAACTGATCCTTAAACATATATAGAAATGAGCAACTCATTCCCTACAGCAGAACACTCTGCCTTTGAGTAATGTTATTAGGAAATGTGTTCTTATTTTGAACCAAGGCCTATTTCTCTGTAACTACCACTTATGGATTCTATTTCTATCACTGAGGGGTCACAGCCAGGCAGAATTCCATTTCCAGTGGCAATTAGTCTTACAAACATTAAGACAGAGCTCACAAATTATCCCACATAGTATTTTAAATAATTGTAAATTAGCTACTGACATTTGAAAATTAGAAAACTACCCATAGAACTTCGTATTTTCAACTTTTGCAATTACTGATTATCTGAAAGCAATGGGCCACATTCCCAAGCGGTAAAACAGTAGTACCCCCTTACCCACAGTTTTACTTTCTTTAGTTTGAACTACCTGTGGTCAACCATAGTCTGAAAATATTAAGTGGAAAATGCCAGAAATAAACAATACAGTTTAAATTGCACACTGTTCTGAGTAGGGTAATGAAATCTCTGAGTCCCACTCCGTGTTGCCTGGGATGTGAATCACCCCTTTGTTCAGCATAGATGCAACCTGCCCATTGGTCACTTAGTAGCTGTCTTAGTTATTAGATGGAAAAAAGCCACAGTATGTAGAGAGTTCAGTATTATCCATGGTTTCAGGCATCCACTGGAAGGGAAGTATCTTGGAACATATCTTAGTAGATAAAGGGATACTACTGTACTTGGCTGAGCTGAGTAGCCGCTGCCACTTTTAGACAGGGAATGTGCTGGCCTTTTTGCCACAGTCCTCACTACTCCCTATTATCTTGCACTGAGCCTGCTTTCCTCTTTTTCTGATACTTGACTGGCCTCTGAGACATTTGCATTTCTAGTTCTTATTGTGTCCTCTCTAAGGCTTCTTTGCGTCAAGAGATTTACCCTCACTTCCTCATTCTTCCCCTTGGAAAGAAAAACCTCATGCATGTCTGAAGCCTAGACCTGCTGAATGACACTACACTTAGAAAACTGACAACTGATTCATCCAATCTTGCAATCAATCCTCAGAAATGTGCTGGGTACATATAGAGCTAGAGGCCTTAGAATCATTTTAGATAGCATAAGGGTGGGATGTGGAGGTTTTGAAAAGCCTGTGCACACGGAACAGAGTAGCTTCTCATGCCTGCTGAAAGTCTAATTCCAGATAGTTGTTCTCATTTGCAGCTGTAAATCCTCATGAGCACGCAGACACCTGGCAAACCAGTACCTACAACCAAGAGCATGCTATGTGGTTTTCTGCTTTGTTTAGCTGCCTCTGTGATGTTTAAGCCTTTGCTATTAAAGAAACTCTAACTCAGCCAGTGTCTGTTGGTGACTTACTATCAGTTGCATCATAGTCCTCCATGTTCTGGAAAGATGAGGAGTCCCCGATTTTGAATCTAAGAACCTCCACTAAATAGATGAATGACCTTGGGAAAATTGCTTACCACCTCTGAGCCTCGGATTCTCCATCTGGAAAATGAGGGTAGTAACAGGTAGCCCCTATTACTATTCTCATGCTGTGAGAAATACATGAGATACACATATAGCGCTTAGAGCTGCCCTTGGTTCATACCAATCACTCAATAAATGTTAACTATTCGTTGGTATTCATATATAATTCCTGCACACGGTGGCAGGCCACTCCCACAGGGTCTCAGCCTTTCCCGCATCCAGGCACACAGGATCAACTTCTGAGTGCCAGCACCTGTAAGTCTTGCCTGACAGTTTTCTCCTACCCCCAGTTTTTCCAGTCCCTATACACTGTGGCAAACTGGAAGTGTGGGGAGTTAATAGCCCTCTTTCTTCCCCCAGGAGTTGCCTCTGCCAATGGCAGATGGGAGCTGATAAATGAATACCGCAGCTTCCTCGCCTCTCAGAAGAGATAACTCAGGAATGTGCACGGCTTGGTGTTCCAGAGTTCCCCTTAGTGCATTTAGCTCCAGTTGCCCGTAGTTGCCAAAGCTCATTTGACAACATGCCCTTTATAGACAGCCTTACTGTCCCTGTCTACCTTTTCCACCCTGTTACTGATATTTCTTAGGGTCAATTACACACTAAGCTACTTACACTCAAAAACTTTGCTTAGCATCTGCTTCTGGCGGAACACACGCTAAGACAGTTGGTCCCAGAAGTAATGCTAGGAAGCAGATCCTTAGGATACAGTCTAGAGCTACAGTACTTGCTTGTCAAGCAGCAAGAAGCAAATCCTATTGCCTGTGGTAAGTGGTGACAAATTCCAACTTACTGTGGCATTGATGATAGATTTTGATAGATTTGGATGGGACAGAAGTGGCAGGTAATTACCCTGTGTACTGTAGCATTCATGATGGATTTTGATGGGATATTGATGGATTGGCTTCTGTAATACCACTGGCATTTGAAAGATATTTGAGCACTCACAGAGGGTCTGATTTAGCTTTTCAGGATCCCACCTAACATTTCCTGGACCAACAGACTTACTTCCCAGGGAAGGAATTATTATAATTGGCACACAGTGATGGTATTCACTGGTCCTACGCTATACTGTATCATCCTAAAGCTGCCAGTCTAGTAGAAAATTGGAATGGTATTTTAAAGGTACAACTGAGGTTCCAGCCTGAGAATGCCACTTGCAGGGTTTGGGTGCTGTCATTCAAAATGTGGCATATTGTCTAGATCAATGTTGTTGAGGGTACAATGCCCCCAGTAGGAAGAACTCATGGGTTTAGGAACCAAGGGGTAAGAGTAGGAGTGGCTTCTGACACTATCACTTCCCATGATCTACTTGGGGAATTTGTTCCCCCTCCCCCACACCCCCCAGTGTTAGGGTCTGCTGGACCAGAGATTATGGTTTCTAATAGGGAAACAGAGAGCTCTTCTGCCAGCAGACACAGGAGGCACTACATAGCCCTAAAGCAACTGCTGCCATCTACTTACTCTGGGTTCTTCACACCTATAAGAGCAACCGACAAAAAAGAAGTTACCTGATTATCAGGAAAAGATAGAGTAGCTGTCATATTATAGAGGCATAAGGGAGCATACCTGGTTCTTAAGGGGATTTCTTGGAATGTCTCTAGGTGTTTTCTTTCCTGGTAGTAATCAAATGGGCAGTTAAGGAACTATGGACTGACAGAGATGAGGTAACTCAGGGGTCTAGACCCTTCAGACTTTAAGGCCTGGGATCACAAATATTAATTATAACCTAGGAACCAGCTTCTGTGTAGGAACTGCAGCCTGGCCCACTAATCTTTCTGCAGTAATTATTGTGAGTATTATTATTATTGAGATGGAGTCTTGCTTTGTTGCCCAGGCTAGAGTGCAGTGGTGCAATCTTGGCTCACTGCAACCTCTGCCTTCTGGGTTCAAGCAACTCTCCTGCCTCAGTCTCTGGATCAGCTGGAACTACACACATGTGCCACCATGCCTGGCTAATTTTTGTATTTTTAATAGAGATGGGGTTTCACCATGTTAGCCAGGCTGATCTTGAACCCCTGACCTCAGGCAATCCACCGGCCTTGGCCTCCCAAAGTTTGGGGATTACAGGAATGAGCCAATGTGCCCAGACTATTTTCCTTTTTAAAAGTATCAACAGTCACCCCTGTTAAGAATCAGTGACAAGACAGATTGAACTTAAGTGGGATGTAAGTGGATGAGAATGGGCCTATCGGGGACTGTGGCAGATGCTATCAGTGCCTTATTCATGTCTTCTCAGCTTCTACTGGCCCAACTTCCAGCACCTTCCAGAATGTACCATCCTCTAGTCCTAAGGCACTGCCAGAGAAAAACCATAAATATGTCATGGTTTTCCCTTTTGCTCACACTGAGCTCTGGCTGCTGTAGTGAAATATTATCTAGAAGTCATAAACTCAAGTGTTTACTATTCAAACCAGGCCAACAACTTGAGTGAAGCCCACGGAGTCAGATGCACATCCTGGGAAGTGGTCAGAGCTGCCTTCTCCAGTGGCTGCAGAAGACCTATTGGTCATTCAGCCAGTACCACTACAGGAATGATCCAGCCTAATATTTCCAGCAACATCCTGACACTAGCCCTTCACACTCCTGGGGGGGACAGCAGAAAGCTGAATTGCATTGATTAAAGAAAAATAACTGGGTGAGGTGGCTCAGGCCTGTAATCCCAGCACTTTGGGAGGCCGAGGTGGGAGGATCACTTAAGCCCAGGAGTTTGAGACCAGCCTAGACAACATAGCAAGACCTTCTCTCAACAAAAATATTTTAAAAATTAACCGGGAATGGTGAGACTACAAGTCTCAGCTACTCAGGAGGCTCAGGTGGGAGGATTGCTTGAGCCCAGGACTTTGAGGCTGAAAGAAAAAGAAAAGGAAGAAAGGAAGGGAGGGAGGGAGGGAAATACTCTGAGACTGCATGGCTCCAAATACCCTAGGGCCACGTCTGGGAGAGTCAGGCTAGGCAGGGTAGACACTTGTGTGCTTGAAGACAGCTGTTGACAAGCTGTGAACCATGCCCAAGCATACAAACAGGAAGCTGAATCTCATTCCAGAACAACCACCACATTTATATGAGAAAAGTTAAATATGGTTATTTAACTTTTGCAATTTGCAGATACTTTGAAAAATTATAGCACCAACCTTGCATAGAACAAATGGGAAGCTATTCAAGGTAAAGAACCAGTTTTCTCTAACATGAGCGTTATCTTTTACTGCACTATCTGGTGCTACTTTGGTCTAAAGGGAAGGGCCACAAAGAAGGTAGCTGCACCAGCTACCTTCTTTGGTATGCCAACAGCTGCAATTGTAAAGCCACCAGCTTCAGGCCAATGGAGAGAGTAATAGTGAATTTCCACTGATGTGCCAGGCTTTATTCTAAGCATTTTACATGTAACAACCAGTTTAAATGTTTGTAACAACCTTATGGTAGAGATATTATCATCATCCATTTTGTACTAATGGGGAAACTGAGGCACAGAGTACTTTAGATTACTTTGCATCCCAACAGCCCACTCCCAAGCCTGGACTCTTAAGACTTCTTTCTTTTCTACTATTTTCTTCTAATAACAACCCCAGTAGAAGGAGGATTGATTTGGATTCCTTAATATCGTGTACATGATGCATGGTCGTTGTATTTTTCTCTGTTTTGTGGTGTGGTGTGGGGTGTGTGTGTGTGTGTGTTGTGTCTGTTTCTTAGGCAAATTATGAAGCAAAAGACCTAGTTTAGTCTGGAGCTAGCTGATGAGACACATAATTGAGTATCAGGAGGCTTAATTAGTGACACCACGTGCTACTAACTGGCTTTATAGTTAGGTCTCAAGGGCTCATTTCCTCATCTATGTAAGAGGGGGTTGGACCAATCACCTTCTTACCAGAATGACACATGGTATGTGACTTCCCAAACACCTAAGGTGTCCCCTGAAAACAAAAGTTGCAGCCCTTGGCCTTCCTTTGGAGCAAGGAGGCATTCCAGATGGGTAAAACTACAGCTGTGTCACCTTCCAATAGGACTGAAAGTTGGGAAGTGAGGCAGTTACTTCCCCTGCCTCTAGACTACCACCAATCAGCTGCCATAAAGGCAAATCGTAACTGAGGGTAAATCCTTTGGTGGTTAAAGTGAGTAAGAGAGTTAGACTAGACACCCTGACCTCTCTCCGTAGGAACTCAGAAGAGACCCTGATTTCTTCCAGGCTGCTTTTGTATAGTGAGTGAGCAACCACTCAGGGTGGCTTCTATTCAATAGAAGGATTTGTTTCAGCAACTTCGAAAAGTTAGCCACTTTCTTCTCTTTAGCATGTGACTTGATTTGACCAAAA